TGCGCTCTTTATATCAAGGGTCTGTATACTTGTAAAGGAAAGGTCTTAAGGTGAGTACTTGAACTTCTGGCTTTGAATCTTGGTGACCTCTCATACGCAACTAACCATATATGACCTTGTTTTGAACCTACCATTGTATGTACGATCTTATCAAAGATTTATTTCACTTGAATTGCTGTATTCTACTTCTTTTGTGAAGTTTGCTTTTTGTCGAATGTCATCTGGTTATGTTTCATGAATTGGTCTCATTATTTTACTTCTCCTGTAAAGTTTGTTTTTTATGGTTGTCTATTTCAATGAATCTCAGGTATATGTAGAAATTTATACATGAATTATTGGCTTGGGAATTATAAAAATTTATCTTTAGAGAAATGAAGTATCTCTGAGATTGTACAGTACGTTGAATTATCTATCAACCAACCTAGAAAACAAAGTACCTCCTTGCTTTGGTACACTTCAAAAAAAGAAGAAAGGAAGAATCAAAAATGAAAGTTACATGATACAACTTTCAATGAATGAGGAGAGTGATGCAATGGAAGTACTCAAAAAGAAGGGGTGTGCTTCAAGTTATGCAGAAGCTATCCACAACACCCTGGAGAAGCTGACATATGCATGTGGTCTGAGACAATCCACTAGGGATCCAGTTTTCCTTTGCGTCAACTCTACTCCAAACCTGGGATTTGAACCCAGGGACATCTTTCTTAGCCAATAGTCTATACCACTAAACTATGGCCGCTTAAGATGTAGTCCTACATAATTATTCAAAGACTCACTCTAAATGTTGTCTCTTTATCATTGTACACCACAAATACAAAATTCATCAAAACAGGGAATAAAAAGCAAACAAACCAACATCTGATAGATAAGATTGCCAACTACCCAACTATACGTGAACCCTGGTTTTTATTTTCATAATGACTACAAGGCCAGACTCCTTTACAGAGAATCTACAAAATCAATCAATTAAATTCTTTATATATATGTGTGTTCTGTGTTTAAATAGAATAAATCTGGCTACATGGATTAAAAGTAGATTAATCTTCAATTGGTGTAAATCCACCAAGCTCAATGTCCCCACTCACACGAATTTGAAAGCGAGGATATGCTAAGATAAGTTTAGTAGCAGCACCAATCGTCAAACCTTTATTTTCAAGATAGATAGGAGTCATGAACTCAGTTGGTTTGAATGCGCTCCAATGATCCAATCCCAAGGTCTCCAGGCTTGTTCGAGTCTTATTATCGTCTGGTTGAATACGAGCAAACGTTAAGAAATCTGCAAACCTGCCACAGTATCGCTCTTGATTCATTCGCGCGTCATCGAAGAAGACATCTTCTTGTGTTCCTGAGGTTGATTGAGCTGAGATGGCTGTGATCGGTCCAACATTGTCCAATGGTTCCTTGCCACGTAGGTAAGTCTTGAACATCGGAGTTTTAGGTGGAGTATTCACATCGATATCGTTCTTTCCCAACTTTAGGTGATCAATCTGTGTTTGGTCAAGGTAAACAATCAAGTTAGTATCCATTTGATCAAAAGATGAACATAAGGAAGCCTACCCAGGTTTTGGCCCACACCTCTAATCTGTCGGGAGTCAATCTGAACCAGAAAGTCGAATTTCTAGGATCAATGTATCTTGCATGATCGACTGCTGAACCACTGTGACCTGAATGTGTTAAACGAATTTCTTGCATCGCTTCTGAGAGTCTCATAGTTGGTTGTGATGAATCCAACTGATCACGACCTGTTGAATTACCATCCTTAGTCAAAAATGCTTGAACTCGATCTTCTTGCTTCTTTTCTAGAATTTTTTTTTGTTCAGCGGCGCCAGGATCCATCATAGATAACCGAATAAAAGGCCAATGATCATCACCATCATCATGTAAATTTAAAAAGTCGATGAACTTTTTGAAACCACTAGGTTCGTCAATGTTCCACTTCTTGACCATTCGAACACTAGTTCGGTCCATACCATACCAAGTGAAATGATCTTCCGGGAATCGCTTGATGTAATCGGTCATATTGTGAAGCATGTTGTCGAGTTTGGGAAGGGCTAGCTCTTTGAAATCTTCAGGTGTAGCATCATTATGATTCACAATGAATGAGAAAGTTTTGTCGGCTTCTGAGTTCGCTTGTTGTCCTCTCTTCCAAATTAGGACAGGAGTTGTTGCTTTTTTCTTTGATTGAGATACTGACATCGCCTTCTCTTCCTGAAAAAAAAGATCGTAGGAAGTGTAGATACGTATAGTTGTTTTCTCACTACTGTCGGTTCCAGGAGTACCTTCATCGGACTCTGATTCAGTATGTTTGGAAGATTCCTCAACAGGTTTTTTCGATTTCTTCTTTGCATGATGACTCCGTTTGACTTCATTTGCCTTTAAGGGTTTCTTTAGGATTAATCTATCTGATTTTCGAACGTTGTTTGATGAAGTTGATTTTGCCGCTGAGTGCTTTTTCTTCTTAGCCCCTGGTTCAAAACCAAGGAATCCAATAAAATTCAGTCTGACAGTTTTTATACACAAAGCTGGAATGAAAAAACTAACCTCCTTTAGAAGACTTAGACTTCTTGACTACATCAGCAAAGTCTAGCTTCTCATCCCACTTCAACACATCTTCGGTTTCCTCTAACAGCGGCTTCTCATCCTTCACTTCTAACAAAAGCGCTTGGTTCTTCTTTTCACGAGAATGGTGCTTATGGTGCTTATTCTTTTTCGATTTTTCTTCTTTGACAGCAGGTTGATGGGTTTCAGTCGGAGCAATTGGTTCGGTCGGTACTTTGCGATCAACTTTTGGTCCAGTCATGTTTTTGGAGGTGTGCTTGGAGTGCTTAGAAGTACGAGGAAGGTCTTGAGACGATTGATTACGATGTAAAATGGTTTGATGTTGATCAGATATTGCTGAAGTTGTTGATTTTGGACAAGGCTTTGGTCAGTATGTGTCTTTCTGAGATCGATTGAAGATGCAAGGAATCCTGCTCACCCATGGTTTTTGGATCCTTGTCTTTTCCTATAGCCCATGAAGTTGCAGCAATTTTCTTTCGCTCCTCTGTAAAACCAAATTGTTAGAAATGCAGATAGATGAAATCCAGGAAGCATAAAAACTACTTACTGGTTTCATTCTTATCAATCATTTTGTCAGTGTTCTTCTCAAGTAAAGCAGCTTCATGTGCTATGAGTGAATTCACATCAGCATATTGAATTGATGTATAATTCAACAGTGTGAAAGCTTACCATTTCTCGATTGCAAGATGCTCTGTCGCAGGCTTTCAGAACGCTCAATAAGCTGATCGACACGGTGGCGATGAGCAACTGGGTCTGGTGGAATACGAGGCTTCTCGTCCTTGATGTGAACTGGGTCATTTGCCGACAAAGAAGCCTTGACAATATGAGGAGTACCAACTATCTCGATCTCGGAGCTGGAATTGGAACTGGAGCTTGAATCATCTTCCTCTGAGTCCGATTCGGAATGAAATTCTGAAATGTATCCAGGAGTCAAGTTTATTACTGTACTAGTGAGTTTTTCGTGATCAGAGAGGTCTGGAGACTTCGAAGTCTTTTGATTCAATGGTGAAGCTGAACGATGAAGTGCAGGAGCCGATCCACGAGGATCGAAGATTGGATCTGAGGATATTGGTTGGAGAAACTGATTGAGGAGGTCTTGTTGGTCGATGAATCCATCGTCCGACATTTCAAAGGTAGTTTTGTTATCAAGAGCCGTGTGGGGATTTGGATTGATGATGTGGAAGTGGTCAACAAGAATGAATATCGGATAGATGGGATTAGGGGATGAAGTTCACGGGTTGACCAAAACCAGTGAAAGGTTGCCAGGTGAGTGACAGCCAAGGTTTCTGCCCGGTACCCAAAGGGTTTTGAATTTAATTTAATTTTTTTTATTTGTAATTTACCAGGTGATTATCAAAAAAAATCACATGTTATGTTTGAAAATAGGGCAGGGCCCAAGCAAACATCTGAAAATTTATCAAGCTTTAAGGGAACAGCTGTAAACTAGATATGTTAAGAAATGAAGAGATTGTTCGCCTAAAACTTACCCAGAGAGCAGAGATAGATGAAGCCCGACCGAAGGGTTGTCTCGTCTGTGTTAATGGCAACAGCAAGGTGAGTCATCATTCGCTGGAATCGCACTACATAGCGATGTTGAAGACCGATTCGATGCAACCAGAAACGTCATCGATGCACATATTCACGGTGGTGTGGTAAAGTCGGACAATGTTAGAAAACTGGAATCAAGGGTCACCTCGACGCGAGCGACTCTCCGACTGCATATAGAAAACAACAAGGCAAGTTGATCAGCTATGATGCGTGCGGGGAAAAGAAAGCACGCATCCGAAACAGCAGCATACGCCAAACTCATGTTCGAACATATGATATTCAAAAGCACTGTACAGGATTTTCAATGACCGCAGCCCTCAGCTTTCACCTTCAATTGTTGTTGGATAATTGTATGTATATTCAACAAAAAAACTAATTTGAAAAGCAGATACACATGCAGGATGCAAATCCGTGGTTTACATTTCCGAATGCCGGCGCTTTCACCGACCGCCGCTTCCAAAGCTCTATGCAAAATCCCAGAAAAGCATTGCTACTTCAGCAGACTTTAGCCCAGGCGGAAAAGCTCACCGACCCACTGGAGCTGGCTGGGTACCGCGAGAATGCAGGATCGCATTTCATTCTTGACCTAAATGAATCAGCAAGTCTAGCCGTTGTATTCTTTTCTCTTACCATTAGCGTAAGCTTCCTCGCAGATTATATGCAGCACGTTGAAAAAAATCGCGCTTTTAGTGAAACAAAGATGCATTGCAGCTCCTCGAAAGCATTCAAGGCTCGACCACCTTCTGTGGAAAGGGTATAAAGCTGCCACACGATTCCTTGTTCCCCAGTCTCTCAACAACCTTGTCACCTTCACCTGCACACCACCAACCGCACACACTTCTGCTTCAGAACTCAACCCAATCGCCAAATCAAAAATTACATCGCCACTCACCACCATGTCCAGCTCCACCAATCTAAAACATGAGAACGGTAGCCCTTCCGCTATCATCACCTTGACTCCCGAACGCGAAGGCCAAGTCGGCGGCGGCTCAAGGTATTGCGTCATCTCCCAACGTCAGGGCCAAGTCGGCGGCGGATCCAAGTACTGCGTTATCTCCCAACGTGAGGGCCAAGTTGGTGGTGGATCCAAATACTGCGTGGTCTCCTAGTTCCCGTCCCAATCTTTCTCATAACACATGCGCTCGTAGATTCATTCCGTCCTGCGCTGTTCTACTAGTACAAATGGAAGATAGGCTCATGAGCCTCTGCATGAATGGTCACATTTGTCATCGCTCTCTAGGACATCCTCATATGATTTGAATATATGATACATACATTTGAAATCTTATACTTGTCCATTTGAACCCTGCATTCCTCCTGAAAAGAATAGAGCGTATAGCTGGAAGCGCGAGTGGCGTGTTTTGAATAACTCGGCCTGTTGTCTTCCTTCAACAGATCTGTGTTGAGATGGAGAGTATGTTTATCGTGAGGAGCGTAAGCGGACACGAGTGGTCCGAAGAAAATTCCGAACCTGAAAATTTTCAACCAACACTCACATTGTAAGGACCTTAAACACAACAAAGTCCCACGCAGTCAGCTGTCGCTTGCGACAGCCCGAGTCTGCGGGGGACTTACGCCAAAGCTGCACAAACTCATGGCTCCCCGTTGAGCCTTTTGCAGGAGGCGTCTTCAAATCCCTTCTACACCTTTTACCACCGAGGATTCCATGGTGGTCCAAAGATAAAACTTGTCCGCTGCTCTTATGCGTACATAGTGTTGATTCTGAATCCACTGGATGCTTTCGGCGACAATCATGTAAGCATCCCGTTGACCCAATGATCCTTTACTGGCTAACAAACATGGAGACTCCTCTAGGTTACTGGGAAGGAAAAGGATGGATTTACCGCAGTGAATCTAACAAAAAGATCCTTTATCGAGGCAGTTTACCATGATATTCTGAGAGGTGTTTATCAGTTCATCTACTTGGTGCGTGCCTCTATTATTCCATCTGTATCTGTATAACAATCTCTCTGACCAACCCATTTCAGAGTCCGGAGATTTTTTTGATTAGTCCTCTGTTTACAAAGCTGTACTTCAATACAAATCTCCAAAGACAATTAGTTCTCAAAGACATTGACGAAGCTCATTTGATATACTGTTGGGGCTTAGTAGCCAATGGGGGTGCCCGGAATCAGTCATCTTCCAAAAATCTTCAAGATATGGGTGTATTTCGACCTAGTTATGGAAACTTATTTGGACAATTTCTAGATTATGCTCACATATTACTAATGTCAGCTCAATGTCGCCCAAAGGCAATCGATGCAATCAAAAAAAATCTACGTCTTGGAGATTACAATCTACAAGTACAAACTGCAGAACTAGTACCAACGCTGCCACGATACGATACTCGGTATAGTATTGTGGATACCCGGTAAAGTATCTTTTTCAGGATACTGTCTCGAACAGGTATCGGTACAGTATAGCCCAATAGGATACGATACTGGATACCGTATCTATTCCAGGATACTGTTCCCAGCTGGTTTGGGTACGGTATCCTCGATACCAGGTACGATACCGATACGTATCGTGGTATCGGCGTTCTTGACGATACCGATACGATACTGGTAAAGTATCTAGTATCTGAGCCAAACACAAGCATGTATCGAATTGCTATTACAAGAGAAAGCAACATAAAATGAAATAGAACAAACAAAATGAAAAGAAAAAAACCACTGTAGCTCTCAGAGCTAAACACGGAACAACTTGTTGTATTTGAGAAATGAAGAAAGAACGAGAAAAAAGGAAAAAAGAAAGAAAAAAGGAACAACAAAAGTATCATTTGAAAATAAATAAAAGGTTCATCAAGCCCTCCTCTTGCGGTGTGACTTATCCAACGCACTAGACTGTGCCATACAAAATTGACACTCTTCAAATTCCAATCCTTCTATCACAATCCCATCCTTGGACCAAAGTCAAGCCCCAACTGATCGTTCAACGGTTGGAGGTTTCAATGCACCTCTATCGCGGCCACAGACATCTGCAGCTGCGGAGAAAGTTCTCTCCACAGCACACGACGATCCACAGACTGCCAAGTAATTTCTGGCGAGCGAAGATAAGACAGGATATCTTGAGGCATTGACCTGAGTAATGAGAAATTTAATTGCTATCAGTATGATAATAAGAAAAGTGAATAGAATATATGAGAGAAAAACTTACCTTCCACCATTCAAGAGCAAGATGTGGATCCTTTTCAACAGCTTTAGAGGGCTCATCAACGCGCTCAAAATAATTGCTGAGCTCATTTTCAGTCCGTGTCTGTACTTTCTTTCTATGTGCCCTAAATCCGTCTTCGTCCTCCTCCTCCCCATGATCAGAATCGCCACTGTTCCCATCATTCTTGCCAGAGTTCATTCTTGCTTTTCTTGTATCAAATGCCAATTCTAATAAGCTTTGAGCTGTTGTATATTCATCTGAGGTGTCGCCAAATGCAAACTGAAAGTAGTCAGTTCGCCAGGATGGATGGAGTACAGTGGCGAGAACAAGGATATCGGATTTGAGAGCTTCAGCTAGATAAGCTTTGACCCTGACATGCATGGCATGATACATTGGAAACATGGGGTCAGCTCGAGATTCACATGCGTTGATTTTATCTTGAAGTGACTTCTTCAACTTAACATATTCACGGATAACAAGGGATCCAGTTGGAGCATCCGCTTCAAAAACCTTAGTTAACAATTCAAAATCCTTTATTCAACAATGATTTAGTTTTAGTAAAAGCAAAGAATGGATGTGGAGATAAATAGGGAAAAACTTACGCGAAGGATTTTGATCAGTTTCCCCACCTGCTTCCATTGATCTGGCGAGATGTGAGCTTTGTTGAAGATGCTGCGTGGTTGAGCAGTGTCAGGATCGCTGGGTTGGAGTTCAGGATTTCGATTTTTACCGTTTTTGCTCTTTGTAACCTCCTTCTGATCATCTTTAAGCATTCTATCGATAACCTGTGATGTATGATATTTCAGTGTTTGATGTAAACAGTTGTAGAAAACAAAATACTTACCTCTTGAGCATTGAATAGCCTGTCCCAGCATTGAAGCTTTATATTCCATCGAATTCCGTACCCCAGAATAGGCCGAGGAAACTTAACACCCATACTTACGCAAGTAGCGTCAAACACGGCCAACATCCTAGACAATCCTCCAATTTTACGAGCGATTTCATCAAGCTTAAGGCAGATGATAAGCAGATATTAGCAAAGAAAAAACCAACACATTATAAAACACGACATAAGATAGCAATCAAATGTAAAATGCTTACCATAAGGGTCAATAGATAAATTGCATTTGACTCATTGCGGTTTGTGGCAGGTAAATCAGGGGGAAGTTCGAATGGTCTGTCCAATACTTCATACCATTTATCACCTACTTCCTGTGCAGCAATGTTGTTCAGTTCAAGCTTGTCATCTGAATCAGCTAGATCATCTTCTTCATTGATGTCCAATGGCTTTTCAGGTCCAGTGTCTTCCTCCTCTTCTAAGATAGAAGGCATAGCATGTTCATCAAGAGGAAACTCGCCAAGAATGGTGGACTTGACGAGTGGAGGAGGTGGAGCTTTGATTCCTAATGCCTCAAGTCCTGCATTCACTATCAAGGCGATTTTATGACCAGCACATCTTACTCGATCTGTCTTCTCGTCAAATTCAAAAGTCTCAAGTTTGTCGCTTGCTATCTTTGAAAGTCGGGCTTGCATAGCACGAGCACAGGTATCATTGTTACTTCCCGAGTCGTGAGTCTGTGAAAGCATGTGTGATTCAAAATCATGTCAGTGTAAGTTGTTTCGGTTTTGAAAACAAAAATAAATCAATGATTGATAACATAGATAACAATTAAACTTATCTTGGGGTAGAGTTTGTGTTTAACAAGCACATTAATCATTGGCTCTGCTAGCCACTTGCCTTTATGGTGCCATGCGATCATCTTCATGGAAAGGTGGCGAGTGACGTACTTCCACTGATCGTTGATATAAGTCACCGAAGCTGATATGAAACCGTATTTATTGCAAGGTGAAGTCCATGCATCGAGGATAAGACCAAACTTGGACTTGTTGGCCTAGATAGAAATGAGAAACAAGAAACAAACGAATTATAAAAAGATTGAAAAGATGAATAAAAGTGAACAAAATCAAAAGGATGAAAGAATAGTATGTCAATAAAGAAACTCATGTGAAACATTAGAAAAAGAAGTAAACTCACTTGTAATTCAGATATAACAGAAGATCGGAGGCCAAGATATACTTTGTGAGCAAATTTGGCTAACCAAGTGCGTCCAAATAGCTGAGCGGCGGGATTTGCATATCGAAAGCAGGCACGAAGAGCCTCATCTTCAATCCTCAACCACGGCTGTGAAGTCCACACAGCCCACATACCAACCATCTGATTCAGTGTTGAGTTGGAAAATCGAGAGGCGCCTTTTATAACATAATTATCAATTGCTGTCTGATGAGTCAAGGTACTTTGTTGTTGTAGACTTTGTGCTTCACGTTCCTCAGCAACAGTTGGGGGAAGATTGCATCCAGCTGCAATTGCCTTATTCCTTTTTCGACAGCCGGGTCGTCCTGATTTTCCAGCTTGAGTGGAACCGTCCCTATGGGCCAGCATGTTCGTAGGTGAACTCCCACTTGCACGAACCTCTTCGCCACACCACTTGCAGAGATAAGAATTCCAAGGTCCATTGTTGGCCTAGTTTCATGAGACAAAATGATTGAACAATCAAACACAGATAAAAAAAGAAAAATGCCGTAAATTAGATGCCTTACATCATGTCCCCCTTGAAAGGCATTTCCGAAGTAATCTCTGATCCGGTCATAAATGTTTTTTTTCTTCTCGTTGTTTGGTTTTGATTTCTTGGTTGGTCGGATTTTGGCGTGCTCATCCTCTGAGTCTCGTACCAAGTCTACCTCGATTTTTTTTCGGTTTGAGGTGCTTGGCAAGGGCATTGCCTATCATAATTGGGATGACAAAGATGTTGGTCATCTAAAAGCATACCAGTGAAAAAAAAGAGGAGACTACGTACCTTTTTCTGACTTTGAGAATCCTTGAGCGTGACCATGGTCTTCTTGGCACGCTTCGCGGGTTTAGCACGTGGTCGATTTGGCTTCTTGGTCTGACTACGAG